CGTAGTTGCAATACACATTTGAAAACGCGAGGCGCTAGAGAGCACTATTCGTTTGAATGCAAAATACAATTTCACCGCTAGATGGGAGAAATTCCTACACAATGTACCTTTAAATCTTGATTACTTAAATTATTTAGTAAATTAATTTGGGAAAGAACATTGTTTAAACTAATTCTGTGAAAATGGTGGTCATTGAACAAACAAGTAAAGACATTTACTAAGTGGATCATGCAAGTTCATAGTGAAAGTCTGCAACACACTTTTATTCAAATGAGACAAAAAGTTCCAAAAACAACACGTTTCAGCTTCTAAGTAATACATTGAGTCTAATTTCATAAATAATTATTATATTGGTGATTTGCAGTATGAATATTTACATCAGTAACAGTGTCAGTATACACTGAACAAACAAACAAGTACCAACAATGCACCATTTAAAAAAGAGGGAATCATAATAATGTAACCAAATTAAAAGATCCCTACAGTGTGGTTTATTTTGATTATATTTAAGATATTTTTGATAATCTATAAAGTAAGGCGAGGCTTGTATTGTAACTGTACATTTGGCCTTTTAGTTTACTGGTAACCAGGGTGCAGTCTGACATTTATGGGCAGGGCTATCAAACTGCAGAATGCCCTGTTTGAAAAAGTTTGCTAAATCAATATCATCTTTTAAATATAATCACATTTCTTTGAACTTGATTTATGGAATTCTTTATCACTTTAGGACTGTAAAGCCCTTTGTAAACTTTGCCTTACAGTGACATGCTGTATTTGAACAAACTGTATTATCATCATTAATCAGCTGTTGGACTTTTGTGTGTTTTCCCAACTCTCTCAACTAAAATGTCAATAAAGACTACAGTTTTTTCTAAACGGGTTTTTCGTGTTTTGCACAATGGCACATTGAGTATAAAAGGAGGAGCTATTGACAGGGAAACACTGCAGAGAAGCAGAGATTTCTAAACCACAAGGATGAAGAAGATTGCAGTCCTGATTCTAGCATTCAGCGGCTGTCTATCTGAAGCGCAAGTCAATGAAAACAATGACAAAGCCTGTCAGTGCTCAGGATCAACCAGTTGCTGTGAAATCTACTCTCTAACTTCCATAACTCAAAGCCTGGGAGCAATGGGAGAGAAAATCGCAAACATGGCGGAAAAAATAACACTCCTGGAGGCTAAGTTGCAAAACACTGAAAAAGAGGTTCTGGAGCTGCGGAGCCTGAGTCTGACTGGAGGTAATACAGAGCAACTTTTACTGGATATAATAATGGGATGTAATAATGTGATATAATTCTTCCCTTTATTAATTCTTACCTCTGATGTGTTTGTGGTAATTTGATTCTCTCAGGCAAACCTGAGGTGGCCTTTTCTGCAGCGCTCAGAGAATCTGGCTCTGGAAACACTGGACCTTTCACCACTGCTACCCCACTGCAGTATAAGAAAGTCTTCTCCAACACTGGCAATAACTACAATCCTTCAACAGGTAGAGTATGCTAGATAGGGAAAGACATCTGGGGAGAGAGGCAACTAAGAACTCATGAAATTTAAACCATTCTCCTTGTTCTGGCAGGCATTTTCACAGCAATGGTCAAAGGAATGTACTTCTTTCGATTCTCCATGTTCAACAACCTCAATGCTGTCCCCAGCTCTGTTGTGAGCCTCATGAAGAACGGTGTCCGGCTCACATCTGTCTGGGACACCTCAGGGTCTGACAGCAACGACATGGGCAGCAACGCTGTGGTCATCCCCCTCGAGGTGGGAGACAATGTGTATGCAGAGCTCCAGGCAAACAGGATAGTCTATGATGACAGCATGAACTACAACACCTTCAGTGGTTTTCTGCTCTTCACTATGTGATTCAAACAACATGATTTCAGGTCTGCCTGGGTCTTCGTGCTTTGACAGTAAATATCTAACTTTATTCATTCTGCTAACTCATAGCTTGGGAAGTAAAATCTGTGAAAAACTAGACACACACAAGCCATGTGCTGTGTATGGATTTTAGATTAGACATTGTAATAATGATAATACCTGGATATAAAAATAAATATCAAGCTTACTCTTCACAATGTCTGTATTTCTATTTTCATTTCATAATATGTTGTTTTTTTTGTGCAGCTACAATTGTGGTTATTTGTATTGAAGGTGGAAATGCACACAAGAATGGTATGTTTGAAGATGATGATGATGGTTTGTATTTATGCATACATACACAGAATCTACCCTTGAACGATAGTTTGGCACAGTAAAAGGTCAGTGGGTCCTCTGGGCAAACTTTTTGCCAGGATTGTCAGCTTTCTTGAGGAAGGTAATTATGCTTTATTGAGCATATGTAATAAAAGAAAAATGTCATGTTGCTTGAGGACCAAAAAACATCTATTATGTAACCCCATGGGCCAATTTAGTAAGATGTTTTACCTTTCGCCAGGGACACATATCATCTACATCTTCCCCTCGGATATGTTGTGTTGTGCAATAGAACTTGTAGCAACTTTTCCAAAGACTTTATTACCAAGCACCATTGTAAAGCTACTAACAGTCAGTTGTAAACAGACTCGTACTTCCACAACTACTTCCTGAGTGCGTTAAACACAAGTACTTCTGAAAGTAAGCGCACACTGCATAATTAAAGGCTACTTGACGCACTCCCCGCCTCAGGACAAACATTTTTTGTGTTATTTTTAATTTCAATTTGACAAAATTTGACAAGATACATTATAAACAGTTTATAGCATATATGATACAATTTATGACCGACAGCCTGAATTAATGCAGGCAGTCTGTGTGTCTTTGAATGCTTCTGTGCACAATTTGCAATTGGCTACAGCTGCAAATGGACTATAATGTTAAATGCATGTAGCAACTTTTAAAAACTACATTTTTACTGGATTTAGGCATCATGGTCAAAGTAAGTGATTGTAAACTACATTAGTGTGCCATCAGAGTGGAAGTGCTTTCGTGTGGTGTGGTAAATGTATGTGGACAAAATAGCTATAACGTTAATTGCTGTCAGGTCTTTCTCAAAATACAAAGTTCAAGAGTTCATCACAATGTCATTTTATGTATCTGTTCATACTGACAACAACAGTTGATGATTGTAATAAACATCAGTTGCATCTGCAAGGGAAATGTCAGTGTGAGATACTCTTGCAGAGAAAGAATATCGATTGCAACTCTTCCTGGATGCAACACGATGCAACAGCTCTTACAGATTATCCTGTTTATTTGATTCATGCAACAGTACTAGGCCAGTGGTTTAAACATTTTTACTTAAGGAACCTTTTTTCTATCATTTAATAAACTGAAAGTGACGACCTCTGACTAAGTGACATATAATTTATGGATATTTCATATTATATATGAACCCAAACAATGAACTCATTAACTACAAGAAGTTTGTGTCAAACAGTTGATTTGGATGAATTTGAAGCAGGTTATTTCCTGTTTAGGGAACTTTTTTATACAATTCTCTGTCTGTATTATGTATTTTTTATCATTCTTAACAATCATACATACATACTTAATATACTGGGTTTTTTACAAATTCATTGATTTCTTGTCCCTGGTGCTTGGCTAATATTGGACTATTTACATTTACTTTTATTCACAGAAGTGAACCAAATGCTGACATATTGGCCTACTGTGTATATTTTTAAAGTTTTCTTACATGCCTTAAAATTAAGAAGGCCCCAGTGAAGCTTTGGCGACCCCTAGTGGGGGTCCCATCGTGTTTTCTCACTGAGATTTGACCGACCATGACCTTGTGGAAACATTTCCCAAATGTCTGCCTCTACGACTCTGTACATGGTTTGGCAACACACACAAATTCATGAGCTGCTGACAAGCCTGTTTCATCCACATAAAGGAAAACTAGCAGTGCCAACAAAGAAGAACTTTGCTAAAGCCGTTTGTTAAAAAATGAATGTGCCCCTGCTGTGGCTCTGACAAAAATCAGAGAATTCAGAAGAAAATGGACATCCAATAACTGGAACAAGCCACCATTATGAACTTCATGATTCAATTTTGCTAGTTATTAGATATTATTAGGGGTTATTGTTATTAAGATATTATATTGAAACTGTATACTAACAAGTATTTTTTTTAAATACACACAAATGACATGTCACATCTTCACTATTGTGAATTGATTCAAACAGCATCATTTCAGGCCTGTTAGCTTTTCAAAAAGTATATCTCAATTTATTTATATTTCCAGCTGAATTGACTTGGGAATCTTTAAATTATTCACCCATGAGCAAGTAAGACAACACATTGTTTAAGACAGTGAATAACCAAAGTCCCATGAAGAAACATCAGCCTTTATTTATATAGTAACTAATCTGTTCATACATTTTGTACAGTAATACATGTATATTTCCATCCACAGTACAAGATGTACTGTTTGGTCCCCCTTTTTATTAAAACAAGATTGTACAATACAACTGTTGAAGGCAGTCAAGAACATTATGTTTATATATATATTTATCTCTGTATACATGAGCAGATATGATGAATCTACTCTCGAACAACAAGTTTAGCTGAGCACGAGGTCTCCCCATGGTCATTTGTGGCTCTACAGGTGTAAACGTTGGTGTCCCCTGGGCCAACTTTGGCTAGGACCAGGGTACAGCGGCCATCTTCCTCATACTCTATCTGCACTGTGGGTGACTCCACCACAGGCTCTTCCCCACACAGCCACACCACCTCTGGGTCAGGATATCCTGCCAAGATAAACGGAAGGGGTGAGGACAGGGGCAAAAGGCAGTATTTCTGAAATGAAGCAAAACTACAACAGATTGTTTTTAAGTCTTTTGGGGGAAGTTAAAGTCAAGTTGGGTTGATATCGCAGCCTCTCTGTGGTTTGTTTACACAGCTTGTCTGACCCATGTGCAGATGAGTAGAGTGACTAAAACTCTTTTCAGTTTCTGAATGAGGTTATGATGTTACAATGTGATATGCAAAGTAAAAAAAAATAGTATGGTGAGTGAAAGCAACATTATGATTGTTTCTGATTAAACAAAATGTCTCTGTAGGTATCTTTGTCAGGCAAGTTGAGCATGTCAGTAGCAAAAAAAAGCACACTTAGTGGAAATACTTTGACGGTCCCCAGGGATTAGCATTAGTTACGATGCAGCCATTGCAGCATTTTTGCATCTAGCTCTGTGACTTAAGGGTTTATTTTGACCAAATCAGTGTTATTGTTGGAAAGACTGTGGAAAGACTAACAAAGACAGTTTTTGTAAGTATTATCCCTGTCCTAATGTTCTGGTGTATGATTATTGGGCTCTAATGCAGCATCCAGTGGCTTTATTAAAATGTCACAAAGAGGAACACAGGTATTGCTTGAGCTCTTGAAAGAAGTCTTCAAGATGAGAAGTTGTGTACCTGCGAGGTGACACGAGAGACGGGCACTGGATCCCTGAGCAACTGTCTGGTCCTCCAGGCTCTGGGTGAACTGGGGTGGCTCCTGCATCTTGCGCTCCAGAGACTTCAGGGCATGGGCTGCCTCTGGGCTCAGGGGTGAGTCTGGGACAGAAGAGGGGGAGAAAGGAGGAACCAAATGAAAATGGTTGGGGGGGGGGCAGGACAGCTATACTACAAGGTTAAACTGTTCCTGATGGTCCTGATGAGATAATAAAAGAATGTAAAGAAAGCGTGTCTTACCCTCTCCAGGGCTGGTAGGAGATGCAGAGGTGTCACTTTTAGACAGCAGAGCCATTCTCTTTAGGGCCAACAAGGCCTTACCTGCTTTCTATTTAACAAAAAATGTCAGAAATCTGGAACAAACAACAAAAATAACACCTCAAAGACAAACATGAAAGTAAAAGTCACCTTCCACTTCTGCCTGGCTAGAAACCTCTTCATTTTCTCCTTGGACAGATTCTTGGTGGTGGCGAGATCTCTAGAGTCAAACGCTGCCATCCAAGGGTGAGCAAGTGCCTCTTCACAGGACATCCTCCGCCTGGGAAACACATAGAGTGTTATGTGGTTCAGTCATGGTATCTGGAGGCTGCGTTATAGCAGTTTGTTTATGAAATCACCTGGTATCCTTGTTGAGCAAGGAGCTGATGAAATTTTTGGCCTCGTCTGTGATTTCATCAAAGCTCTCCTCGTCAAACTCCCACTGGGCAGCTGTGACCAAGGCCAGGGTCTCTGCATCGCTGTGACCCTGGAATGGAGACTCACCACTTAGTCTGAAGAGAAAGAAAGACAGCAGTGTCATTATATACTGACTGTTACAAGCTACATCCACCAGGTGGCAATAAAAGTCAGTAAAACATTCAAACAACAGGCAGTCAATCCGTCAATCCATCACCACCAGCACGGTCCTATCAGTCTATTATGTTTTATAAAGTTTCTAAAAGTGGTTACCAAGACTTGCAGTTGATTAAGGGCCTTCTGGCTGACAGTGAAAGTGGATAAGACCAGTTTGATGTACATGGGCACAACTGACTAAATCCTAGTTCCCAGGCATTGTCACAAAATCTGCTTTCACTAGTTAAAATGGAAAAAAATATGCTGAATGTGCCTGACACAATACATTGTTTAAAGGAACAGTTCTGCATTTTGGGAAACAGTCTTATATGCTTTCATGCTGAGAGAAGTTTGATACCCCTCATGTCTGTACGGCAAATATGAAGCTAGTTGGCTAATCTTAGCATAAAGACTGGAAACTGGGAAACCTGCTACCATGGCTCTGTCTAAAGGTAACAAAATCCACCTACCAGCACCTCTAAAGTTAACTGATATGTTATCCAATTTGTTTGGTCTGTTGCAAGAACCATCATGTAAAACCCATCTATGTCTTGGCTGGCTTCCTTGAGTACCAGGCAACCGGTAGAGACTTTAGCTTGAGGGGTGTTGACAGGTGGATTTGGTTCCCTTCAGGTAAAGCCAGTCTAGCTGTTTCCCCCTTTTTCCAGTCAGTTGTGCTAAGCTAAGCTAACAGGCTGCTGGTTGTAGCTTGATATTTGTTGTACAGACAAGAGAGTGGTATTTTCATCTAACTTTTGGCAAGACAGTGCATGTCAAACTCTTCCTTTAACATAGAAAGGGCTATACTCACAATATGTAACATATGACCCCAATGCTCCACATGTCAGTGGCCAAATCCACAGGCTCATAGTTGATCACTTCAGGTGCCACAAACTCTGGAGTCCCATGCATCACCTTCAGAGGCGTGCTGCCATCTGTAAACATACAGTGCATAATTTGGTTAGTAAACATTAAAGGTCCAGTGTGTCGGATTTATGGCATCTGGCGGTGTAGTTGCTGATTGCAAGGCCCTCGCCTCATGCTCCCATTCCAGAAGTAGGAGAAACTATGGTGACCACGGAAGGCCCTATCTACAGCCAGTGTTTAAATCTCTCGGGGCTACTATAAAAATATGGTGGTTCAACATGGCGTCCTTATTTTTAGGTGTATAGATCCTCTTAAATATTACACACTGGACCTTTAAAAGAGTCTCATTTCACATACCAAGCTTGCTGGCTAATCCAAAGTCAATGATCTTAACGGAGGTTCCAGTGGTGTCAACACACACAATATTTTCAGGTTTGAGGTCCAGATGGATAATATTCTGCTGATGCATGTAAGCAATCCCCTCCAGGATCTGCTGCATGTAGCGCACACTGGCAGGCTCAGTGTGTTCAAAGTTGTCGTCCACTATACGTTCAAACAGTTCCCCGCCTGCAATACTAAAGACAGTGACAGAAAATGGTTATTATAATTCTTTGCATATAACCATATTCAACCATTTTGGGCTTTCATGATGATACTTACAACTCCATGACCATGACCATCTCCGGCTTGTGATCGTATGCAGCGAGGCATTGAACCAGTTTGGTGTGGTGGAGGTAGTTCATCAACTCTATTTCCTTACGCGCAGCTTCCCTCTCCTTGGCTCGTCGGCCTTTGTAGAACTTCCCAGCACACACACGTCCTGTTTCTTTGTGGGTCAGCTTGAACACCAGACCGAACTTTCCCCTAATGAGAAGAGATGAGTTTCGTAATTTTTATCTCTTGCTCTTAAGAAGAAAATGTAAATTGTGTCGTCATAGATCTTGAAAAGAGGGTAGTGTACTGAAGTGAACCCATCAGAAATAGAGGCTGACAACAAAATGAATCCCTGTAGCTTTCAGTCAAGCAGAAAGAGTAGATTACATTTGTTACTAAAGTAGGACCGTGTCTCTACATGCATATTTTTTAATCCTCCTGCTGTTTCCTCAAACAACCCACACGAATAAAAGAAAGACGTTCCATTGAAATGTCAAGCGTTCTTGTGACACTATATCAGGTTGGTTCCTGACAGAATACTTACATTCCCAGTTTCTCCAGCAAATTGTAGTGATCTGTGACTTTGTGGGAAGAGTCAATAGTGACACAGGTATAGGTTTGAAGGGCCTCCTCTTCTTGTGGTTTGTCTAAGTCTACACACAAAAACACAATAGCTGTAATTATATCATCATATTTGCCTCTATTTTTAAATGTGGTATCAATACCCCATATCACCTCACCTTTTTGCTCCATCCTGACCACTGGTGACACTGGCCCTGGCTCACTTACTCCCACTTCGTTGTAGGCCCTCACTCTGAAACAGTATTCCTGCTGAGGCTGCAACCCAGAGCTCACTCTGTATGAGGTACTTTTACACTGAGCAGTGAGCTCACTCCAGTCCCCAAGTTCAACACGTCCTTGGTTCTTTACCTCGACCACATAACCGAGGATGGCACTACCACCGTCGTAGCAGGGGCCCGACCAGGACAGCACAAGGCTGTTGGTAGAGATGAGGGAGATCACAGGACCGGAGGCAGGGGGCTGTGGCCTCTCTGGTGGGATAATGATGAAAAAGTGCTCAAGTAACTGCAAACGTACTTACTGGTCCTGAGACTGCAGAGTGTGTGTTGTCTTACCTATGACGGAAAGGGTGAGCGTGTGTTGTGCGGAGTTCCTGCGGTCCTTCACTACAACAGTGTAGGGACCTGTGTGCTGTGGTTTAGCCTCTGCTATAACCAGTGTACTGCTCTGATCAGTATTTTCTGACCACAGCTCTGGACCATCCACTATCTGCAGATAGGTGTGTAAGAAAAAGAGAGAGAGGGAGAGGGAGATAAATACTGGGAAGCAATGGAGACAAATAACATTGTGATGGAAGAATGTGGATATTTTGTAAACCAGCCTTAAAATTACATCACCTGGTCTTTGTTTCGTATCCAACAAGACACTACAGGGGGACTGCCGGTGAAACAACACGTCACTCGGGCAGTTTGTCCCACCTCCACCTTGATGTGGTGTGGAGGGTTTTTGAAATGTAATGTTGGACCTGCAAGGACAAAACAAAGTGAGTGTTTTGACAAAGAGCCTGTCTGCTCATTGTAGTAGTATTGGTCGAGTTGAGGGCCTAAAACATCACACTGGAAGGAAACTATCTAGTGTGGTGTGTCAGATAAAGACAGAGAGACAGAGAAAATGTGGAATGGGATTACGTGATCTGTGGTTTGTGCTGCACTGTGAGACTGGAAGTGTATCGCTTCCCCCAAGACCCTTATTATGTAGTATACACAGCAAACCAAGTGTCTCAAGTGGAAACAAATTCAAAACACAGATGACCTTCTTCACACAAGTACAACCAGTCCTTGTGTAATCAAGTGTGATAAACAGTGTTAAAATAATTAATTGAAGACACCTTTGCATCCTGGTACCAAAATATGTTTCACACTATTTACTCAAATCAATAGGCAAACACAGAGAGAAGACACATTTGCCTGTACCATATCCTATAGTTATGTAATGTTACCATGCAATTACATTAGACTAGAAAACTCCATGTATGAGCTGGAGTCAATATCATCTCTGACACTGTCAATATTCAAATACTGTGGCATCAGGATGGTGAATTTGACTAGGCAATCTGATAAAATGATGTTTAAATAGCTTTATTATCTACAGTTTACCTTCTTAACAGGCAGTCTAATCTTCCTCTCCAGCCATCACTTATAAATAATTCATAAAACCATAAAAAAACATAACCACCAAAAATATCCTGCACTCAAAACAGGCTCGCAGACCCTATTATGTGAGCTTTTCATTCTTTTATTGTTGCAGCCTACACCCTCAGGTTAAGTTCTCCAGTATATGGGAGCACAATAGCCTAGAGCCTGACAACATTATAGCTAGAACAAAGGCTAAAAAAGAAGGTGTAGCTCCAGGACAAACCACAACAGCATCAGAAGCAACAACACACACACACACACACACACACACACACACACAAAACAGTTATGGATAGGTTGCATTAACAAGAGCAAGCCAAATCAAACAATACACCAGTGAACAGTGAGAAACCAAAGGGTGAGTGGATGATGGAAAGACAGGTGCATTGCTTAGAGATAGTGAGTGAGAAGGGGGAAAAAAAGAAGATCTGCGTGTGTTTCTCACCTGTCCCTGAGTTGGCTCTCTTCTTTGGGATGACTTCTGCAGAGACAGATGAAGCGCAGGTAGGTTTTAGCAAGCCAGGATAGAGGTGTGGCTCTGCTCTTCTGTTTTATGGCTATCAGTTTACAGACTCAGCAAGTTTGACTGTACTGTGTACTGTCCACTTCCCTACATGGTGATCACTTGGGACTAAGGACCTTTAGTGGGTGTATCAAAAAGCTACATTGTTGTGGAAGTCCTGCAAAATTCCTTACTGGTATAGATGTTGCCTGACAACCAATCACACGAGGACTGGAAATGATGTGTTTCCTATACACTTAAAAATAACATGGATATCCGGAAGAGGTTAAAACAATGGTAAAGAGGCAGAGATATACTCCTGGTGCATCACAGCATATAGGGAAGGAAGCTGCAGTGTATAATGTATATATTGTCATAAGCAATAAACTAACCCCTCAAATAGTTTGAAATTAGCAAATACTTTGTATCTATGTGTGAAATGAATGGTTATCTGATTACCTCTTGGAGATGAGACTGGGCTAAGCTTATCAGAGCCAGTTGGGGAGGTACAAATAGATCCTGTGAACTTCTGTAGCTCTTTTATGGGAGACTGCGGTGACTGTCCATTTTCCATAATGCTCTTGGATGCAGAAGTGGGAATATTTGAGACACGATTCTGCATGTCATAGATGGTTTCAAAGTCTGGATTGGTTTTCATAAAGAGGAAAAGAAGAGACCACAGAACATCAGAAATGAAACTGTGGCTTACTTCTACTTATTGTGACCAGGCAACTAACAGAATAGATATTGCATTGAACAAGGAATTCTGCATTACAACTTGCAAGAGTTTGCTTTCAGTTGTGTATGAGAAGTTGAAAGATGTCCCGCGTGTCTCAGCGTCTCCCTCACCTCTGACGAACACTGCAGCGCAGCAGGATGTCTTCCCTGCACTGTTTTCTGCCAAACAGGTGTAGGCGCCAGCATCTTCTGGCAAAGACTCCTTCACCAAAAAACTTGCCTCCCTGCCGTTGAAGGAAGGATTCCCGAAACGGGCCACCTTACCTGCCCATAAGAGCAAAAAAACAAACTAGAAACACTCCTACCAGTGTAATGGGCAATAGAGAACTATGAAGAGAAGGAATGTGAGTAAGGAAAGGCTGATAAAATGCAAGATACTTGGAGAAAAGATGTTGATAATTAGTTAGATAAGAGAGAGAGAGCGATCCTCATAAACTGTAAATAACCAGTTTTAAAACCAAATGAGTTCTTGCTGTTTTTTGTTTATTTAACGTATAACAGAGTAAACATTCACCCCCAAGCAGTGTAAATGATTCCTGCTCACCATTGTGTAACCACGACACTTTGATTGGCTGACTTCCCGTGATAACCCCCCGCAGTATGATGTCACATCCTTCATCCACGCAGCAGTCCACCAGGGGCTCTATGAAGACGGGTGGATCCAGACGTTTACATGAGGAGAGGTTAAGAGACCCTGGAGGACGCCGAAAACAAGAGCAATGCATGCACATCAAGGGTTTATAGTAAAATTGTTACCAGTTCCTGATTTTACAGAGGAGCAAATACCATAACCCTAATGTTACTGCATCTATTAAGTCTAGTTTATACACCTATTTTTAGAAAAAGTTCATTTTCCCCCAATTAATTTTGATCCTTGGTATAGATCCATAATGCAAATTCTGACCACAAATGTTATACTATTATGTTTTTTATATTAATTCAAACACCAAACTATTGTGTTCATGTCTCACTTAAAGTAAGTACTGCATTACTTGAAGTAACACCTGCTAGAAGTGGTATTTTCCATCCCCTCATCTACCATAACAAGTTCTCTTTTTTTTGTTCTTTCTTTTCTCTCTTGTTAAACATGACATGAATTCAGGTCACCACTGCCCTGACAACCACAACGCTGACATCAATATTCTGCCTTGATGTAAAATACAAAGTTCATGGTGACTGTACTCTTTCTTGTGTCTTCCTATTTAAAAGTCTTTCTTACTTTCACTGAAATCAGAGCTAAATCCTTAAGGGAAGGGAATGTGTATTCCTAGAAACTGTACTCCCCCTGATCCAGTAAAGTTTCATGAATTGAAAGCAAAGCACAGGCTGCTGAGTGTTATGACCAGTATAATTAGTTGCCATCACAGAGGCCTGTCAGGTAATACAATACTTTAACTTAACATTGTTTAAAAAACTTCAGCCAGTGTTTACAATGCTGGATTATTCACTGTAAAGCCTGATGTTTGTCCACATTCACTGACTGCGCTTCAATCAAGCAACACTGAAAGGTGGATTTTCATGCGTTTCTCACATCATGACTCTCTGACCTTTTTTAGTTTACATACTAAGAACTTGAAGCTTTTATTAGCAGTCAGCACTCAGCGGAACCAAATGTTTATAGGTTGCTCTGCTGTTGAATATGAAACTGTGGTCAAGTGGGCATACGTCTGTTTTTTTATCAGTTCCTGATGTTTAAGTAAAAGATACTGAACAAAGTTGTCATCTGACAACCTAGTGTACCTGGTGACTGTACACTGAAATCATTTAATTAAGCTGATACACTTGACATGTGGACTGATACATTATCCAGCTATAAAAAATGAATAAATTAACACTTTCACTTTCACAGCAAAGGCCACAAGTTTATTTTAGTTCAAACTAATGAGAAAGAAAGGAAGTGTGCTCTCAACTTTTCAGAGCATGACTAAATTGCTGTTCAGCGTGGGCTGACATGAGAGGTCCCCAACACAATAAACAATCAGATTTGGACAAGGACAAACACAACAGCGGATATTTGCTTTAAGAACAACAAACTTGGCAGTGTGTCATCTCAGTTTCACTTTTTACACCAGGAGAAATGTGAAGCAAATTTGTTGTAGTCTGTTTGCAGTGCACCATGTGCAGACTTGCCTATTCAAATACTGACATTTAAAACATAGTATAAGGCACCAGTTGAGTAAACACACACCCTTAAATTATTAATCTTCTCTCTCCCTCTCTCATGCAACCCTTACCTGTTTCAGTACATTTGTCTGAAGCCCTGGTGTCTGTAGTTCCCGGCCCATTCCCTGGTGCAGACGATGCACAGGGAGACTTGATGTGCATCTTGAAGGTTGACACATAACGCTGTTTGCTGCCATCACCATTCATTTCTGTGTTAGACCTCCCCAGTCTTTGAACGGAACAGCAACAAATAATTTACACAGTCATTGCCCAAGCTGATTATCACACTTCCTTTCTTTGTCACTGCTGTGTGAGCCTCTGCTGCTTGATCTGCCTCTCTCTTCTGTAAAAGCAACACTCTGTCTCTATTTCTCACTTCACGCAAAGCCACTGCAGCTCTGCCCTCACTCACTCCTCACACTTCTGGCACATGTCCGAGCTCTCTTTTCTCACCCTCCCCCGATCTACACTAACTCCACCTACATCACAAATCTTTCTGTTTTACTTTGGCCTTCTCAGGCAGGCCATGCATCTCCTTATCTCTCCAAAATCACTCTAGGATCCACCAACTACTATTCAAACCCCTGTATTCATTACCATTGCCTAACAGACAAACACACTACACATAAACAAGGAAAGACAGAAAGGGGGAGAGTGGAAAGAAAGGGGATGGGCTTATCTACCCACCCAGCCAAAGGTCATATTGTGTGATGTTTGTTAAATGCGCTGCCGTTTATCGATTTTACTGTTTGCCCTCTCACTTATCAATGCTGCATCTGAACTTTGTGATGTCAGTGACATTGCAAAGGTTCATTTCACGCCAGAGAGTTGTAAAGCTGTGATTGTCAAGAACAGGCTTGTAAATCCTACATGACTTTAGGTTTGAGCGCCTGCCCTGGTACAGTATATCCCTGCACACACAAGGTTGCCGTTTCTAAGGTAACAGCGTCCCTTCGACAGATCCACCTGCTGCTATGGTAACAAGAGATGTCTCAAGAGTGGCCTGCTGTTGTTCTCATGATGAACATATGTTGTTGAGATGGTCAAGCCAATAGATCACACAGTCTGCTGTGTTTATTATAGATTGGAATCATGAGGGAACAAATTATGAACCTGTTGCAATGAACCTCAGTGAACACAAGAGCAGCCCAATGAGTCGATTATAACATCTCTTTCCTCTCCACTCCCACCCCAGCTTCCTAAATTCCACATCAGTGATCACACAGAATAGCACTGTGAGGGGCTTGTTTTAGTTTCTGTGAGGGAAGAATTCCCAAATCAAACATTTACCGAAGGGCTGCACACACACAGACACCATTGTAAGGATATTTTTATGTTTTTTTTACAATTGCATACATTTGTAGTATTAGCCAAACTTCATCACTATTCTAAAGTTGGGGATGTTTTAAAGCATATTTCAGTACGTTCTGCTGTAAAAGTAGCACAGTCATTGTCATTGTTCTAAAATAAAATTCTACAGAATCACTGTTAAAATGAAAAATGGTCATAATTATTACTCAGGAGATTATGCAACATATTACCAAACTGCAGGGAAGACAATCTCAAGTTGCATTTGCTGGAAAACAAACATTCTTCATCCCTTATTTGGGACTACCACGTATCCACAGGCTCCAACTTGCAAAACATTTACGTCCACAAAATAATCTGTTAAACCATCATGTCACCTTACACCACATATACTCAGGAGCCTGTTATGGCACGCACTGGATGACACTGTGTGAGTGATTCAAATAAGGGCTCCAATCTGATTGTAATGGTGTTAATGGGCCCTCCAGGTGAAGCTAATTGTTCTTGTGTTAAGAGAGAACAAAACCACCATTTTATATATGGTACACATTATGATAGACACAGAATCTAATAAGGTCTGACTCAAAGCTTTAAATAAGATGTGACTGCTTCCTGGGAAAAAGAAAACACATGCAGAGAAAGTTAGAAGAGACTCTGAAGCTGCAGAGCTGCTCATTAAGAGGAAACAGAGTGATAACGCTGCATTTCTCCCACAGAGCCTTGGCCCATAGGAGCATAATGAATGTAATTTGGGCACCGGGCCACTTACAGCACACAATAGAGTCTAGAGCAGGAGGGAGACATGCTGACTGACCAATTAATCTAACGTACACCCCCAGCTTTTACTAGTTGATGGTATAAATGTAGTTTGTTCTGCACTCTGTCCTTGAATGACTATGCTATGATAAAAATAAAAGGTCTGTCTCTTTTCATAACTATCTACCATGATTCCTCAATTACCGTAAGGGGGTCATGTGGACTGGAGATAGTCACAGTACAGTGAAGAAAGGATTAGGTCTGTGGATAGGAATGTTTGTATTGCTTCAGAAGTGAAACTGATGCAATGTGAAAATAAAACCTAAAATCAAAAGATAAATGATGATTCATCTTCCAATGAAAAACAAAATGGAAAAAAACATGTCAACATTGGACTATGACGGGGAAAAAAATACCCCGAAAACTGTACCACAAAAATGCAGCACAAGTAAATCGCACATGTTTACAGTACAAATGTAAGACTGCAGCCTGACCATTATTTCCCCATTGATGAAAAATGTGTCAGCATATTTCTTGACAACATCAGTTTCAGGAAGTTGTTGCAGATACAAAGCTGCTGCCATTAAGCCTATTAAAAAGATATTAAAACTACAAACACCTTTTTGTATTTAAAAATTGTGGAAACGTCTTTAATAAGTAATAATAGATATGCTATGAGGAAAAAGTATTAAACTAACAGACTCAGTATCACAATGGCAATAGGTGGCAAGCAACAGAAAAGTAATTATTAATTGTATACTTAAAAAACCATGTTATTAGCATCATCATCATTATCTTCCAGTAATATAATAAAGCTATGCTGTTTCTTTATCCATCTCATAATTTTACTGTATATGAATTACGATTTTTTATGCTTTTGTTTTTTTGCAACATCATATATCATCCTCTAATATTAACGGTGAACAAAATGTAAAGAGATAAATCAATTATACATGATGAATAATTTGAATAGTTGTGATTATAAATTTTGAATGTCATAGCAAATCATATATCTCTAATATCATGACATATCTGAATTCACATGAATCAAACAAGCATTTGCCTTTACATGAACAGGTTTGCAGGAGCATGCCCTCTGGACATTTCTTTGTTTGCTTTTTGCAAAACCTGCTACCACATGTGATGCTAATGTACTGTGACAATCAGGTTGAGTCAGTTTGAGTGTATTCCAGCAAAAGGCAGGGAGGAAAATGTGATCCACCATTTAGTTGAAAAAGCAGTCAAAAGGTTTAACAAGGAATCATAATGTCCACTTGACCTAAAATGATCTAAAATTGTATGTGTGTAATTACCATGTGATTGAACCTGAAGTGAACCTATTCAGTGCAGCTGCTGGCAGCTGTCAGTCCTCCACCAAGAAAGAAGACACTGGCACCATCTAGAGGCCAACTATGCACATGCAATCAGTATATTGCCTCTTCTCAGCTTTTCATACCAGATTTGTAATGATACTTTGTAAACTTTAATAGTCTTACTAACAAAGTATTCTTTACACTCTGTTAATGGAACATTGTTCCTGTAATTCTTGAAGTTTGCATTTGCAGCTACTAAATTCATGGTTCCAATAATCTCTCTTGACATTGCCAAGCAATTTGAAGATGATATGTAAATTGTATCTTGATGTCTTGTTTAGTGGTGAAGGAAGTATTCTTTAAATAAAAGTACTAATACTGTAAAAATACTCTTCTACATTCAAAAGTGGAGTAAAAATTGACAATATTTGTCTCTGAAATGTAGAAATAGCATGAAACTGCATTGCTCAAGTAAATTAAAAGTACCTCAGAGTTGTGCTTAAGTGTAAACGATGGAACTACTTAAATACATTTAGTCAAGTACGTATTTAAGTACAATTCTGAGGTACTAGTACTTTACTTGAGGGACTCCATTTGATGCTGCTTTTTACTTCTACTCCACTACAATGTAGGCAAATATTATACTTTTTACCCAGCTAAATTTAATTGATAGCTTTAACTGCTAGTTACTTTGCAGATTCAGATTAATAATACAAAATATAATCAACAAATAAATCATAATGTATTGTTATAGGTTGAGATAAGATCAGGGAAGATTTACAAGCTACCCAGCAGTATATTAAATAATCAAAATCACCTCTCCCTCCACATGCTGCATCATTAAAGTGACTTATACATTAATGCATCCATAACTATAATCCAATGATATGTATACATTGTTCTAAAATAGGTCATTCTGCATAATGAATACTTCCTTACTTTTGGCACTTTAAGTATATTTTGATGCAAATATGTATTTAACTTAGCAGTTTCAATGCATGGTGGAGTATTTATACCCTCTGGTATTGCTACTTTTACTTAACTAAAATATCTGAGTTCTTCCACCGCTGTACCACAAAAATGTTCTATTATGTGACTAGAAGAACCTAGTGATATTTTCGGCTTACTTAAAAAAACAATACACATACACATGCAACTATTCGGTGAGAATAATATGAAGCGTTCAAGGTGCCGTGAAAAATGCAACACTTAAGCTGACCAGTGACCCCTGACTTCTCCCACAGCAGCTTCCAGGCTCGCAGGACAAACAGTCATAAATTGCCTCTGGTTGTAGTACTGAGAGGCCGAAGCTGCTGTGTGGCCTGCTTGCAATACCACCACTCAATATTCCCACAAAAGTGCATGTGTTTCTGCAAAGGGCCTTCTTTTGGGAATTAATGGACTGTCAAACTAAAACTCACCCGGCATTTATACATAGATTTATGCTTGGTCACAACTAACAAGACACAAAATAACTGCATATTTTTTTGCTTAGGGACCATTTTTGAGGATTTTCATGATTTATGTGTTTGGTTGATTTGCTTTTTTCATAAGAGTGTATATTGTAGCAATATTAGAACTGAAACAGCAGGGGGTGTTGTTGACCATAACTAAATTAACAACAGCCGTGACTGTAATCAGATCTTTGGATGAAATGTTTGAGACTCCAAATGTTGAATTTAGAATTAATTCTCAGATTAGATCATTTAACACTTCCTGACTTACATTTCCTGATTTGTACACACTTCTTAAAGGAACATCTCTTCTATCAGGATTCCTTGTATGTGTCTTTGTCTTTCTCCTCCCCGCGGCTGAAATAGCAAACATGCTCTGTAGAGGTGTCTTTAAATGCTGACCCTGTTGTGCAAAAGGTCCTGTTGTTTTTCGCTCTGTTGGTTTCACACATTGACCGTGACTGTCTGGCCCAGCAGTCCTCGGGGCATTCCAGGCCGACAGCTCAACATGTGTGGTGGGAGCCACCACACAAAAACACAGGATGCAAAGGAAAACCACAAAACTTCTGAATATCTCAAAAGGAAATTAGTAATGAGCATAAATTAGGCATTCTAGACTTCCTGCTATTTGTCAAATCAGATTGGGAAAATCAGATTTTATCTT